CACCGCTTCTTCAGCATTCATAAACCGCTTTCCTTTAAGTTTTTCTTTAATTTTTGGAAATAAATAAAAATCACAAGGCGCGAGGTCGGGGCTATACGGCGGGTGACCCAGTAATTCAACGTTTGATGTCGCCAAATAGTCGATCGTTCGCTTGGCGGTGTGCGACGAGGCGTTGTCGTGGTGAAGAAGGATCCTACTGCGAGGTCGTTTCTCTCGAACTTTTTCCAAGACAAGTGGCAAACAATTGGTAGTGTACCATTCTGCAGAAACTGTTTTTTGATCCTCTAACACAATTGTTGCAAAATGACCTATCCTTCCAAAGAACGAGGCCACCATTTTTTTTCCCGCACTTCGATCTCTCTTCACTTTAGTTGGCAACTCCTCGAAAGGAAACACCCACTGAGCAGATTGTCTTTTGGTTTTAGGATCATAACAGTAAATCCAGCTTTCGTCACCTGTTAGTATGTCGAACACAGCATTTGAGTCACCTCCGTTAAATCTTTCAATCATTTTACGACACCAATCCACACGATGGAGTTTTTGAGCCTCAGTCAAATTATGAGGTATCCACCGGGCGCAAAGCTTCCTGACCGCTAAATGTTCGTGGAGGATTTTGTGCACTTGACTCATACCGATGCCTAAGCTTGTCCGAATCTGTTGATAGGTCACTCTTTTGTCAGTCTCTATCATACGCCGCACAACACAGATGTTATCTTCAGTCGTCGCCGTAGAAGGCCGTCCCTCACGTAAATCATCAGTGAGATTAGTGCGACCACGTTTAAACTCATTAAACCAGTTGTAAACAGTCGCACGAGATGGGGCTTCATCGTGAAAGGCCAATCGTAGTCTATCATAACTTTCTTGTTGACTTAAATGACATCGAAAGTCATAAAAAATCATTGCACGAAAATTTTCTCGTGTTAAATTCATGATGACGTGACACAGACAATTTTCAATTTGCCGCCAAATCGTAAAACAAATGACAAATGAATGAAATATATACTCAGTAATATTGGCAAAGAGTTATATTTTCAAATTTTAGAATTATTTTTTTATTATATTGTTTATAAGTGGCCAGTTCTAAGAACTTTCAGTTTGACCCTCGTATCAAAATGAAATTAGTAAAAGATTTAGGAAAATTAAGCCGCAATGCTCAGACAAACAAAAAAGTCATAAAACAATTTTAAATGGATTTATCCCATATTTATTAATTATTACATTATTATTATTATTATTATTACATTATCCCCCATAATAATTTGTAAACACGCGATAAATCCGTTTAGAATTGTTTTATTATAATATGTTATGATCGCGAAAACCTAAGACTTTGACTCGCATTGATAAATATTTGTAAGTAATAATAATAATAAGATTTATTTCTCTCCACAAACCATTACACTTATAAAATACAATAAATCTTAAACCTAATTTTGGTTGTGGATCGCTGTTGCCTGTTTTAGGTAATTAAAACCTGTTTGCACAGGACACCAGGTCCCCACCTCTCAGTGGTAATTACAATTTACGACATAAAAGTTCAAAAATTATACATAAGAAAATAATTACAGACAAATCAAGAAATGTAGTTAAGAGAGCGCGTAAGCTATGGGTCAACCAACTTGATTGGTTTGATCAAAGAAACAACTTCCAAACAAGCTGCAACCAAAAGTGGGCAAAGTGCGTTACATATGTTTGATTATTAGCTGGTTCAATATTAAGAATATGGATATATGTGAGGGTGTATGGATGTACGCATGTTTGTTACTATTTCACGTAGTAAGTACACAACAAAAATATTTCAAGGTTCGAACGCACATTGCTCTCGCCTCTCGCTTTCACACAAGTCACGTAAACAACTTCGTCTCCGTCACTCTCGTCCGTCTCGGAATGTCGTGTCAGATGTCAGTGCTCATTGCTCGCTCGCCGCGTAAAGTAGAGACTAGTTACTCGTGTCGTTAAGCTGTTTGTGTTGTAGGTATTAATATTTTAACATAAAAGTATTATGTCGATAAACGAAGTGGACGAAGACAGTAACATATCAGTGACTCTTTCGGTTTCAGACATTAATGATTCATTAGAAACTGTTTCGCCTGAGCCAGCAACCGACACCGCCGAGAGTTCATCGTCGTCGCAAGCGCGGCTTCTCTTACTTGATGGAACATTTTTCAAATACTTGCCTGACGAGTGTACTGGTAATAAAATCACAGCGCTTTGTATGAAGTGTCCAAGAGATGTAACTAAAGTTAAAGGATTTCATAATTGTACATCGAACTTTTTGAGTCACCTGAAGCGAAAACACGGTCAAGATTGCATCGAAGAGTACAAAACTTATCTAAAAAAAAAGAAAAATTAGATACAGAAAAAAGATGATAATATTGTCAAAATCACAACTAGTAAAACTAAGAAGTCAAATGAAAATAAAATCACAAGAACAATTCGACGAAAATATTTTGAAATATTTTATACATTCCATGATCCCATTACGTGCAGTGGAAGATCCATATTTTTCAAAAATATTCACGGACTTAAAAATATCTGAAATGGGGCTAACTTTAATGAGTCGACGTACACTAGGACGTCGTATAGAAAAACACAACGAAACGCAAGTAACTAAGATAAATTTGGAACTAAGGTAGGTGCGGCCAACAAGGCCTATCGGGTAATAAGGCCTAAGTAACAGAAACACAACTTTAAATGGTTTCCGCTAAGCGAAATCACAGTCATAAGTAGCAAACCATCCTAGATGGCGCCCTAAACCTGTTACGACTCTCAAGCCCGCGTGCTGCCGCCAGTGCGACGTCGCTCATTGTGGCCGGCGGACACACGTCTCGATTTATAATATAACGGTCGAACCAAACGTAAGTATTTTTTTCATTTTTACACTTTTCCACATTATTTTATAGTGAACTTTTCTATTAGTTAATGTTTTAAAGACCTGTATTGTACAAAATAGTATAAATTAGACCAAATAATAATATTTTAAACTTTTTTTCTTGACAATGTGGTTGGTTGTTAATAAGGCCTATAAAATTTGACCATAGGCCTTATTACCCTCCTTTATTAATATCATCCAGTGACTATTTTACTGTTTATTTAAGACCTTTAGAAATGAGATAACAGCTATTTTTAATTGATTTATGGTTTTCAGGCAAACCTCATAATCGCAATGCCTCCCAAACGAGCATTGTGGTCTGAAGATGATCTGGTGGCAGCAGTCCGAGCAGTACAATGTGGACGGTTGAGTACGTACAAAGCTGCTGAAAGGTACAAAGTACCCAGAAGAACTATACGAAACCACCTCCAGACCGCCAGTTTAAAAAAAACCTTGGGCCGAAAACCTTTACTTAATGAAGAACAGGAAGCTGAGCTTGTGAGTAGAATTGTGAGGTTTGCTGCAATAGGATTACCTGTTACTCCAAAGATTCTCCGCCGGTTAGTCTTTAAATTTTGCGAGACGAATGCCATCAATCATCCCTTCAATCAACAAGCTAAAGTTGCTGGTAAGGATTGGTTTAGGGCGTTTATGAAGAGACATCCGGAGATATCACGTCGAAAGGCTCAGTTTATGAACCCGGCCAGGGCTCAAAAGCTTAATAAATTTATCGTAGATGATCATTTCTAGAGACTGAACGAAGTTTATGATAAATTGGATCTCAAAACTCGTCCTGAGAAAATTTACAACATGGATGAGAAGGGCTGCCGGCTAACGATTCACCACCAGCAGACTGTTTTGGCACAGAAGGGAGCCAAAAGAGTTCATTTACAGTCTTCGGAACACGCCGAAAGTGTTACCATCGCCGGTTGTGTGAACGCACTTGGTACTAGCATACCACCAATGATAATTTTTAAAGGCAAACGTTTAAAGCCTGAGTTATATGATAATTTACCACCGGGATCATTAGTAGAAAAATCTGCAAAAGGTTATATGACAAATAAACTGTTTAAAGAGTTTTTGAAGCACCTAGCCCGATACAAAACTCCAGGAAAATGCCTCTTAATATTTGACGGGGCAGCTTGTCACTTAGATCTATCCATCGTGGAAGTTGCAGATTCACTCGACATAGCATTGTACTGCTTACCTTCCAATACATCCCATGAACTGCAACCACTTGACAAAGCTGTCCATCGATCATTTGAACACCACTGGGATTCAGAACTTTTATTATTCATGGAACAAAATCCAGACAAAAAGCTCACTAAGGCACGCTTCAATATTATACTTACTACTGTCTGGTCTAAATGTATGACACATAGTAACATAACAAGTGGTTTTAGAGCGACTGGTCTGTATCCATTTAATCCGCACGCTATTCCGGAAACAGCCTTTGCTCCATCTGTATTGTCAGAAGCTCCAGCTCCTGTACCAGACGTCGTAGATGTAGAAAATTCGCCACCTCGAGTGCCACCTAGGCCAACAGCTTTCGAGACACCCCAGACATCGACGTCCATGCAAGAACAAAGAATTGATCATACCCCAAAAAGATCATCTGAAATGTTTTACAGAATGGTTTACGGTAGTTCCAGTTCTGACGATGAGGATAATGTACCCCTCGCTGAAGTGAAAAGAGCATCATTTAAGCAACTCCTGCCTACACCAGCTAAAAATACCGAAAAAACACCAACAGTCAGAAGAAAAGCCATCAATTATAGAGGAACTCCAGTTACCAAAGACCTGTTTAATAAAAACAAAATAGAAAAAAGACCTCAAAAATGAAAAGGACAAAAGGAACAGAGAGCAGTAAAGAGAATAGAGAAATTTGGTACTGTCACGCATGTAAACAGGTGCAAGAGACTGCTATGAGGATGTGTTGCAAATGCAGCAAGTGGTACCACGAGGAGTGCGTTGGTTTAACAGAGGAGGATGATGATGATTTTGAGTGTCCAGATTGTGCCTAATTAAAGAAAAAATGTTATTTTTAAGTCTTTACTGTGATTATCGTATTACTATTATTTTATAGATCTCAATTACCAAATATAAGAAGATTATTTCATTTATTTTTGTAGTTTGAAGTCTTAGGCCTTAATATACTACCATAGTTTAATAAGGCCTACAGACAGTGTTTTTTAAAATGTTTAATTTTAACTATGTTTATAGCAGAAGTTGCTGTTTTTCGTTTTTAATTAATAGTCATTGATATAAATGTTTAATAAACATTAAAATTTACTGCTTTGTCTAAACAGTTTTTGATTTATTCAAATTTCCGCTTAGCTAGGCCTTATTGGCCGCACCTACCTTAGAAGAAGTTGCCTATGTGTGCACAACAATAGATGTCTGGTCCAGTAAAAAGAGAAGCTTCATCGGAGTTACAGCGCACTGGATCACAAATGATCTACGCAGAGTTTCAGTGGCGTAGCTTGTCAGCGATTCAAAGGCGTCCATAGCTATGATCGACTATCCGATATCATTCAAGATATTAACGGCGAATTCGACCTCAATACGAATAAAATTGTTGCATCGGTGACGGATAATGGCAGCAATTTCGTAAAAGCTTTCAAAATGTTCGGTGTGAAATTGACTAATATAAATATTGAACATGAAGTTATGCCACACTCTCAGCCAACAGAATGTTTTTCTGAATCAGATGTTGAAGAAGATGAATCATTGAATTTAAAAGATCCTAAGCATATTTATTTCCTTCCTGCTCATTTAAGATGCTCTGCGCATACTTTAAGTCTTTGCGCAACTACGGACGCGAACAAACTTTTAACCCAGCAAGACACGCCCTTTTGTCGCAAATGCATGCTGCAGTAATGAAGAAATGTAATGTTTTGTGGAAGGCTGCAGGACGGCCAAAGAGTGCCGAAATAATACAGGATGTGTTAGGGCACACGTTGAGCCGACCTGGTGAGACCAGGTGGAATAGTTTGTATGATACCCTCCAGCAAATTTCCAACATTAAAGAAAAAAGCTTACTTTTACATAGATCATTAAACATAAAAAATACTATCAAAGAAAATGAATTTGATTACATACAAGAATAATTGATGTGTACTTCGCCAGTAGCAGAAGCACTCGATATAATGCAAAGTGAGACTAACGCATATTATGGGATAGCTCTGCCGTGCCTACTTGCGCTGAGAAAAAAATTGTAAAAAATTTAAAAGAAAAACAACTTCTCCTTTTGCAGCTCGTTGATCAAGGCATACAGAGAGAGTGTTGAGAAGAGATTTGACAAAATGTTTGACGTCACTTTGATTAATTGTTAGTTGTTGTGGTTACATTTACCAATTAATCAATTGTTTATCTTTAATTGTCCTTGCAATTAAAATTTGCCCAACACTGGCTATTACAAGCACTTTTGAATCGTCCAAAAAAATTTTCTTTCCCCTACCACTTGTTCAGGACGTCTTTTAGCTGACAAGAAGAACAAGCAAAAGAAACTTACCAGCTTTTTATCATAAGTAATGACATTTACATAAATCATGTCATTACCAAAATAATATGTATTATCACAATAATAAATACAACTTTCAAAGTCTATAGGACATAGGTTGAACATATGATTAGTCTTTATAGAACAAAATGAAGGCTATTAATTCCATGCATTGTGTTCCTTAAAATAATCATCAACTTTATAATAGCCTTTACTCATAAGTATATTCTTTACATAAATTTGAAATTTATTTATGGGTAGGTCAATTACATTTTGTGGAACTTTATTGAACATAGCAATACATTTACCCAGAAATGATTCTCTGGTTTTTTGAAGTCTGAAGCTTGGAGCTTCGTTTAGATTCGTTTGACCAAATCTGTATGCAGATGTCATGCAGTAGAAAAACTAATAGGTGGCCTATGGCATTATTCTATGGCATGCTGAATATGGCTTATGTCAACAGCTATGTTATTTATTGCCACAACATACAATCTAAAAATGAAAAGCCATTAAATAGATGGGCATTTATGAAACAGTTGAGCACTGACTTAGCAAAACCATAGATGGAGAAAAGACTTGAAATTCCAAATATGCAGAACATTATGTGAGAATATTCAAAATATTTTACCAAATCCTACTGCAAGAAACGTAGAAGTGAGGATGAACCTCCAGCTAAGAAACGAAATTAGAAGGAAGACACAGACAGAGTGCAACAAATGCAAAAAACCTGTCTGTGGAGAGCATAATATTTTGACTTGTGCATACTGCAAGTAGTTCCTATTTTTGAGACTGAATTACTAAATGTTTATATTTTTTTATGTCTTCTGTTTATTTTGACTTCTGTTTATTTTATTTCTAATAATAAGTATAATTTGTTACTAGATTAGTAATTGTTACCTTTAAAAAGAAAAGATACTCAATTTATGTTTTATTTTGTTTGTTTTTAAGTATAATAATAAAAAAAACTAGTACTAGGTATTGTTATTTCATTTCTTAAATACCTTAAAACATGTAATATATCAAACTTCATTAAAATATTAAAAAGAGTTGTGTTAACAGTCGTGTACAGATTAGTTGAATTGACCTCATGTTATGCTATTAGGGTTATCTGGACACATTATGTATCTAGGATTAAGATACTGATGCTACTAGTACACTTAATTTAGTGAATGTATCTGCATTTTGCTAACAGATTGACTAATATTGTTCAAGTTGTGTCTACATTGTGAGATTTTCCAAAAAATTTGGTATGCAACATGAAGACTTGAGTAACTATTTCTAATATATTACACTGTCAATCTTAAATATTGCATCTATCAGCTGTCATCTATACATAAATATACTGATATTTGAATAAAAAAAAAAACAATACATACAGCATTCAAGAAGATAAGAAAAACAAAACAAAACTCTCACCTAAAAAATTCCAATTTACTAAAAGATTTATCCAATGCTCCTATAGAAACAAAACAGTACCGGAAAAGTGTCCAATGTCATTGTGTATAGATTGCAGAAGCTTTTCCCAGAATCAACTGTAAACATTGATTGTCAAACTAAACTTTTAGTAATTTATTTTTCTTTATTTCATTATAATGTCATATAAAAATTAAGAACTGGTTCACTTTTCATGTTGGATTTATTTAGGCATTAGCTAGTTTTTTAAAAGAATAAAGAGCAGAATGATTTGACAAAGAAAAGAACCACCAAAAAGGCAAGATATCAAAAAAACTATTGTGAGCAAACTAATGCCTATATAATTTTGACTTCTCTCATAAAAACATTGTATAAGAGAATGAATCTATGACTGTCTGCTATGGTTCTCCTCACACTTTATAGTTATCCTTATTTATGTATAATTTATAACTGGATATTACTGTAATTTAAAATAGAAAATGTGACTTAACAACAATACACAAAGCGATTTGTTTGTCAAATTAGCAATTAGTGGACTTTCTTGTTCCTCTTTATGTGTGCCTACTGTCAACTGAACAGCTTTTAACTGTTACCATGCCTCCTCTCTCTCCTGCTCTCCAATATTACCTTGTTAACTATGCCTTTACAATGTTGTCTTTTATGTATTATAGTTAAGCAATATGCATGCTCTTCTCATATTTCTGAATCATTGGGTGCTTATTTAACCTAATTGTTAGCAAGGCTTTCAAACATGTTGTCGTAGCGTTATAATATCCTGACAAGGATTTCATTTTATGATTTCTGGTTGATTAAAACAACAGTAGGTACCTTGATTATGCTAATCGCAGTAAAAATATATTTTACAAAAACTGACACAAGCCCATAGCAAAAACCAAAAGACAACAATCACAGAATACAACTCACACTCACTATAAATAAAACTATAAAATTACATCAAAGAATAAAAGTATATATTAGGGAAAATTTTTGTTACAAGGCGATTTAAACTAAACATGTCTTAAAGCAACAAACACAGACGAATAAGCGATACTACGTATCCAACAAGATTTAAGCCGATAAACAACACCCTAAAATGTCGATATATCTATCGATATCCATGAAAAAGCAACGTCGATATATCGATATCGGAAGATACAACATATCGAAACCTAATATCAAATGAAATCTAAGGAGAAAAAGCATATCTCTTGAAGACAGTGGATCTGTCACTTGTAACATTTGTGAAAGGCTAAACGGTATTCTCTTTCACGTTACAATATAAGACGATGGATTCTGGAAAAAAATACGGTATGGTTCCTTTTAAAAAAGATAACGATATTATAGTCAAAGAGGAAATATTTAAAAAAACATTAGTTTCCGAAATCTAACTTGATGTCGCTACGGTATTTTCTTAATTTCTCCATGACAACCCTTCCGGTTTTTTTTTATGTATAAAAGTAAATTAATTTTCAAACTCAATACACAACTCATATTCTTTTGATAATTTTCGCATTTGTATAAGTTTCTAACTTAACAAATTTCTTTTTTTTATATGTTAGTTTATCTTTTGTCCATTCGTTTCCTGCAAAAATCAACTTTTTGTAGAGTCGCCATCTAGTGAGGTACTTTTTAGTGCTTTTTTTTTCTTTAAATACTTCCTCATAATATTTCATGTTAAAATTGAGACTGAATAGGTTGCTCTAGAGTCTAGAGTAGCATATTGTTGGATCCTAGGTTGGATGTTGTCTGGTCTATGATATAAAAAGATTAAATCAATTTGACGCGACATTCATTTCTTTACTTCCTTTTGTTTTCTTCACAAATTACATTAACTGTACATCAATCCTGTTTTTATAAGTTATTATTACTAAGTATCTAAGAATTAATATAACCTACCGGTGATATCAGGTTATGGGAAATACATTAAAGATATATAAATTTTGGAATTATCTGGTGAGATCGGTAATGTTGGAAACGTAGAGAGACAAACAAGTGCATTTTTGGATGGCTGCGGTGGTTTGCCCTCGATTCCGAAACTGGAAGGTATATCTTATTATGCGACATGTAATTTCCAGATGGAATTCACTTAGAATCCATAAAAACACATAATTTTGACGGGAGATATCAACTTTAATATAATACTTAAGGATAATGAAAAATCACATGAAAGTTAAACAGACCTAACTATCTAAATATGTTGTCTACACATGGTATAATACCGGGACATTTTATATCTACTAGAGAAAACAACTGTTTGGATCATTTTATGAAAAAAATAAAATTAACGCCTCAATAATGGTAATATGTACATACAACAATTACAGATCATTCCATGTCATTTCTTAAGCTAAGTAATTTGGACAATCGATTCTCATTAAAAAAATAATTTAAAATCTCAATAGATTATGAAAATGCCTTTATAAGTTTAGAAAACTCAAATTTGATGTTTATTAATTACTATGACTAATTTAGTAATTAATAAAATCTGGACGTCGATATTAGAAAATACAATGGTTAAAAATTTCTTAAAAAATGCGAATATTAAAACCATGGATGACTCAATGTGTACTTGAATGCATAGGGAATCGAAATAACATGCAACTAAAACTGAAATCTGATCCTGACAATCTAGTGTTGAAAATCACATATAGGCCATATAGGAATTATTGTAATAGCCTCATTAAGCGAGATCGGATCTCAAAAACCATCGCTCGAAAACACCTTATTAAAACACACGCTCGAAGGTAATTAATAAAATTACTCAGTGCAAACAGCTAATAGAAATGTAAAGTGGTCTAATATAAAATCAACATCTTCTGAATCTGTCCATTTTATTACTGAGTACCTACTTTACCAACGTGGGAAAATTCTTAGCCGAAAATATATTGATACATTGATATGAGAGAGATACAGTGAATCCGCATGTTTCATCTTTTGTATTGCTGGAGGCCGATGCACAGGAAGTCAGAACCATATTGATGAGTGTGAAAACTGAAAGTGCTCCTGGATATGACAATATTCCCACGATATATTTAAAACTAGCACACCTATTGCTAGTCCCAATAATAAAACATTTGGCCAATATCTGCTTTAGAAATGGAGTGTTTCCAGCTTTGATATCTCGGTTTTACCAGCTATATCAAAAATATTGAAGAAGTTGATAAATAACCATCTGATTAAAAATTTAAATAAATATAATGTAATCTTAAGGAATAAGCACAGATAATGCAATTACTGCACTAACATCACTCATTGTTGACCTAGTGGACAAAGGGAACAAAGGTTTAACGGTATTTTTGGATATAATAAAAACTTAATTCCCACTCTTGTAGAGAACCTAAAGCTTATTGGTATACGAGGAGTTATATCCAATAAACCCCAGGCAACATATCAAAATGGGTGAGCATCGTAGTCACGACTATACTATTATTTATGGAATCCCACAGGGAAGTGTTTTAGGTCAAACACTATTTTTAATATATGTAAACACTCTTTGTAACATGACAATACATAATGGAAACGTATTTTCTTATGGAGATGATACCGCTATAGTGTTCTGCGGGAGAAACTGGAAGGAGGTTCGTGAAAGTGCTGAAATAGGTTAAGTTAGTTCACATTACGATTGCAGAGCTTTTCAGAAAACAAAGACGTCACTGATGATTTGTGGCTATGGCATCGAAGGATGACGTACTTAGGGTTTAAGAACCTGCGACTACTTAGAGATAAATTAGCAGCTAGAATAAGTTATTCTGTCAAACTTGACTGCCTTAATCAAATTGTATCAAATAGCACCCTTCTGGTGGTATGCGATGCTCCCCTCCCTGCCCTCCACACGCCGACCCTTCAGGTCATACCCCCGTCCGATCCGGCTGATCGTTCCCCTTCAGGGAGTCAGCTGTATTTCAATCCGATGTACCGAGCCCCCCCGGGGTTAACGGCTAACATCTCGACGTCACTATTCACGTAAGTGTTTAGGGACGTCTGCGCCCCCCCCCCTTGAGGGGGGCGGTCGCTCCAGTTGAAGGTTCGTTGCCTCCGGGCATGTAACCATTAGTCCAAGGCGGTGTTTAGTTGTGATCTTAATATGGGATTCGAAATCAACCGTTCCAGTTAATTACTTTGTCATCGATGTTTTAAATTGGATAACATCGGCACATCGATGTTTTCATGCCGAACATCGATGTTTATGAATAAAATGTCAATATGCCCTTGGGCCATCTAACGTGGTCCAGATGTACTAGCTAGATGATCTTGTATATCAAGTTCAACTATTTTATACTAGATGTCACCGGTTGCACTCGTAACTGGAGTACGCAAACAAATAGTTTTTCCTTTGCTTGCATTTTCTTAGGAAATTAGAAATAAATCTGTCAATTTCAGCGCTCGTTGGTATCTTATAAGTTACTTTATTCACCGGTCTTAGTTTCAGACATTAAATAGTTCCACGAGCGAGTGCGGAATCGAAAAAGGTACCACTGATCCCAACCTCTTCAACTGTCTGAAACAACCTTCTTCATATGAGCAACTTCCATCTAAAACCCCCCGTCCCATTAACCTAAATACTATCTTGTCTATTTCTTACATACTTATCTTTTTGCGTCTTGTAAGCATATTAAAAAATATTACAATACACTATAATCTACATGGCACTATCATGTATTTATTGCGATATTTTTTATTTAATTTATTAGTACAATTTGTGACGTTTGCTTTGTGTTGTACTTTTAGAACAAGGGAGGAATAAAACTATTAAAAACCGTTACTGAACAATTTCTCACTATCCCGCAAAATTGTTAACCAAGATATTTTTTTGCAAAGTGTACAGAAAAAAAAATTGGCATTAACGGTTTCATTAATTCTACTTTTTAAATTTGTAACAATAAATACTTGTTTGTAAAAATACATCTAGTTTTATTTTTTTCTATGAAAAACATCGATGTTTGGGGAACATCGATGGTTTTCAATTGATATTAATCGTACATCGAAGTCTACTGAATGTTGATTTCGATGTTAATATCGATCATCCCTAAGTAGTATTGACAATTTACCTAAGTTACTAGGTACTGACTTTTAAACTTGGCAGGTACTCGGGCTTGAGGTACCTTTAAACTGGTACGGTTGGTTTTGAATCAATGTTAAGATCAGATTTTTTTTTTTTTTTCTTTTTTTTTTTTTTTTTTTGGGTTCTCAACCTTACGGGTTCGGAACCACCTTCCCATCAACGGAGGAAGGAGGCGGTGAATCCTTCATTGGATACCAACACAGCCGGCTGTGAGGGTTATGTCAGACTCTTACTGACTAAACACCGCCTTGGACTAATAGTTGCGGGCCCTGACGGGGCAACGAACCTTCATCGGAGCGATTGCCCCCCCGCAAGGGGGGGGGGGGGGCAGCGCAGACGTCCCTAGTCACTTACATGAATAGTGACGTCGAGTTGTTAGTTATCGAATAAAGTAGTTGAATTTAAATGTAGTTTAAATTTATGTTGAATTTATGTTAAGTTAAGTTAGGTATTGTTTATTAATTAACTAAATCGGATTGAAGTTGGCCTGACGGGCCAGATGGACTCGGGGCGGGATCTGTCTGTTGAGCCTCCAGGAGGAGGTCCAGGTCAGCTGAAAGCTTGGAGGGTGGATCGGTGAGGACCGATTTAGGCCTGCGCGCGAGAGGGGAGGTGGAGGGGGGCGGTTCATAGTCCGCTGCCGATCGGATGAGAGGGTAAGATCAGATTAAACGGTATATTACTTATACAATCTAATAATATAAACTGATACCGCGATGCATTAAATTAACAGCGCCATCTAGTTTGCAGACTTAGAACTATTCGGGCACCTATGAAGATGATGGGTGTGTTACAAATAAGTATCTTTCTCATAACAATATTCAAACAATATTGTCGCAAACTTGAAACTTCATATTTAACATGACAAAATTGTAGCGACATTTTCACAAACTTGCCTCGTATATTTGACGCAGCAATTTAGAATCAAAGAAAAATCAAACTTGCCTCAAGTTACCATGCCATATGGGTAGCAAGATTCAGTATCTGTGGCAGTGACAACTCAGATTTTTCAAACAATGGTGGCAGTGACAACTCAGATTTGTAAACGTTCGCGGATTCTTTGGGATGCACCACATATTGATTCGTTTAAGAAAATTTTCAAATGAGTACCGCCAATGCGCCTATTATAAATCGGAACCATCAATTGATGGAAGTGTATCGAAGCATTCCGGACATAGGTAGTGTAACAAACCAGAAGGCGGAAGAACTTTGTCCTCAGACATATTGAATTCGATAAACACTTTAAAGTATAATAAATTGATACAAGAAAAGACAAAACCAATTTAGATACTTGGTTTTATTTTGCTTTAAAACAGAGCAAATTTTTTGACATAAGAGAGTATGACAATAAACACATATGTCATCATTCAAATATAAAGTATAAAACTTTTAGCAAAGAGTATGATTGCAAACTTAAGGAGTTCACATCAGTAATATTTATATGTCGGCGGATAGTCAGAAGGGCCTATTACGAAGCCCAAATAGGTCGTCCATATCGGAGGACTATCTTTAAAATAACACTGCAGGCGTATGTACCAACGTAATCCATGTTCCATTTTATCACTTTTCATACGAAAATATAACGAGATGAGCGTGATGTCTTTACTCCTCGACGATCGGAAACAGAATGTGTCCTAGGAATGGGCAAAAACTATCGATATATCAAATTATCGATATTTTATTCTAAAAATATCGATATAAATAAGCGATATATTTTTCCCGCGAAATATCGGCTTTCGATATTTATTTTCAGATATCAAATTCGTATCAAAATCGATATATTTGTTTAATTTCTGCTGTCTGCACATGCGTCACATCATGTATTTCTTAAATTTAGAAAAAGAGTAGGTGGACAATATGCTGTATGAGTTTAGTCTATGACCTGTTTGTGTTTTTTGTTTGTCTTTTTATTTGACATTGACACTGCTTGTTGGTTTAGTTGGTATCACTGAGTGTGCTCCTGATATCAATATCAGAGAAATGCACGTTTGTTTGAACAATCTAATTTTGGTTCTGTTTATAATGTTGTTTTCTTAGCTTTGTGTGCCTATTTATAATAATAAAACTGATATCAAAACAGCCAGATGTGTAGTTGCTTCAAAATTTCGAATATTTTGAAATTATCATTGATAATCGCTTAATACGCAGAAAATATCGATATAACAACATATCGATATATTTTTGACGATATTTATCGATACATTTGCAAAATATCGATTAGATATATTTCGATTTGTTTTTCCCATTTGCCCATCCCTAATAATGGCGGCAACTTGCTTTTTGTTAACGAACTGTCAAAGTCAGTGTTACCATTCTAATAAAATTAAAAGTATCGATGATCACGCTCTCTCTACAATCGAGTAACTAGCAATTAAAATAAATTATTTTGTAAATTGACTCATTTTTTAAATCACATGAAAATTAAAAGTTTGTCGAAAAAATTACAATCTTGTTTATTTTATATGCTAAGACAAAAATAGATGTTTAATTTTCTTATTATACCGTCTGCTAGTTATTAATTAGCTAAAGGATTGACACTAGATAGAATGACTATCGATAATAGTCGACTATCTATCGAAAAATAACACGCTACACTAATATAATGTTTATCCAAGATTTGGCTGTATGGCTTAGTTCCTTCGCCTGTCCAATGGACGAATTATAATACTACTACTACTACTAATGTAATGTTTACTTCAAAGATTACAATTTTATACGGCTGAATTGATTCAGAGAAGAAAGTAGCCTAAGTTTCTCTTATTTTTATTTAAAAAGTCAGCTATAAGTTCTAGCTGTTTTCATGTTTAACGTGATTTTTCTATATCTAAATTAAACCTAAAAATATTTACAATGGAATTATCGTCCCGTTCTTTTCGCTTTTTTAACCGGTTTCTTAGACCGCTAGGAACGTCTAAAAGATATAAAGCTGTAAATTTCAGAGTAGTAAAAGAAGAAGTAAATTCAGAACTTGTACATGCTTTCAATCAAGACACTAAAGCTGGTATGTCACTGAAAAATGAATAGTTTTATCACTCATATAATAACTATGACCTTTACCTGTTGTTCCATAGTGTATTCATTTATTTTATTTAATAGCATCATGATTACATAACTGCTTATTTGTTATGAACATTAGGACATGGCTAATACAATTGGTGACATCTATTTATATAAAAAATATAATCATACATCTTTAAATATTATTTGTGAGCAAGGAACTCCTTTCCTGTAATTTCATAATATTAAAATATAGAAAAGCATTGTAACATTTTCCCCTCAAGCATTAAAATGATCATTTTTATCCTCCTCATTAGTATTTTAAACTAGTTACCAAATCAAAACATAATTTTTCAAGACCTAATGAGATTTGCTTATTCAAACAAATAAACTTTCTTATTAGTTAAATTCTCTTTATAAAAAGAATATTGTATTATAAAAAAAAAGTACTACAATGAGAAAAGATTTAATTGTTTGTTTACAACAAATAAGTTCTGAAACTATTGGACTGATTTGAAATTCTTTCACATATGATATAGCTTTTACAGTAAAAAATTCCATTTTTTCAGTAAAAATTTAACTTATATATCACTTATATAGGTTAAATTTTTACTTAAAAAAACAGCATTTATATAATTGCTCCGTTCTGTTGATATTATGAATCAATACCCAAACCAAAAGTTCCTTAGGGATAATGTGGGCGAAGGTTACAGTGGATTTCAGTAAACTTACATATATTTTGTAGGGTAGTGTCAAACAATAAACTTTCTTTGTAACAGTAAACAATGATTGAATACTGCCACACCATTATTTTCATGAGTGATGAGCAGAGGTCGGAATTAGGTAGAGTTATTTATGTACTTGCATCGAAATGTTGATATTAATGTGGACCTTCCCGGGATTTTTAATGGACAATCTTGGACATCTTTGGACATCTGATGTCATTGATGTAAGATTGGCAACATTGTGCATGCAGTAGTTTAAATTGTGTAAAAGTAAATAACTTTTTATTTAAAAAATCACGGGTTTTTTCTGCTCTTTAAAATTAATCTCGGGATTTGAGGCATATCCACTTTATTCTTTCGCTGTATGAAATCAGTGTAAGTACATGAATAACTCCACCTAATTCCGACCACTGGTGATGAGTCATAGACCCGGTTCATAACGGGGGTAGAAACTTCATATTGTGCCCTTTTACCGTTTTTTATTTCCACATTTGCAGTATATTACTTTTTATTTTTTGGACTGAAAAAATATCAGTCCCGTTGTAGCTTATAATGTGTATGAAGTTAACATTTTGAAAGGTCTTTTTTTAACCTTCCTTTTCTGATTTTAGTGTCTCCCTATACTAGTCAAAATCTAACAAAATAATCAGAATCATAATAATACCTAAGCACAATAGTGGTAGTGCGTACAACTTGCAACTTATTCAATCATTCATTAGCAAAGAATTTCAAAAAAATATTCAACAATAAATAATAGACTTTGTCTGATAACATTACAGTGCTGGATTAGACAATGTTTAGATTACTGGGGGTCTACTGTATTTATTATAGTTTGTGTGATAAGTACCACTTGCCATAGTTATGTAACATACACATAAAGCCTCATTAGTAACTGCTAACTTACCAGAACTTTTAAAATAAATAATAGTTTTTGAAGAGCAGTATGTTGTCCTTTGTCCCCATGTAATGACTATCTCATTGCCAGGCATGTTGATTTTGTCTCGCCTTATTATTACAGGTGGCGCTGTTCCCGTCTTTCGTCGTGCGCTTCTGTTCCCTGCACGTATTGCATTACAAGATGACTCTGGCATCTACACTTATGCAAATTTGCACAAGAATGCTACTGTACTTAGTCAGGAAATCGCCGCTCAGTTACGTAAGTTGGAAATGGTAACTTATACATAACTATTTAGTATTTTTTATTTTAAAATAAATTGTAATGCATTATATTTTCGCAAAATTAACTTGCGATTTATAATCTGTGAATTACACGAATAGAAACATGGGCGTCCTTGATGTAGCATCATATTACGTCACATTTCAATATACTAAAGGTCAACGTCTTTGTTGAAAGTACTAGCAGTACTCATATTTATTAAAATGTGACGTCAGAGCTTGAAACGGCATACTGTACAATTTAAAAAATAGAAAACACAAATCATAATACCTCATGTGTTCATAAGTTTTGAGACAAACTTTTTACTGAAAATATAAAATAAAATGTTACTGGCCGTTATTTTTTAACGATTTTTAATTTGGCATGTTAACTTTTAGTTTATTTGTATCGCAAATTCATTTGTTTCTATTTTCTCGAGATGGAAGGAACGAAACAATCACGTGCTACTGTCATTTCGCTATTTAACCCGGGAAAAAAACCGATACAGATTTTCCGCAAGCTGAATAGTTTTCCTGTAAGCTGTAACTTTGTCTATTACACAATATAGCGATATATAGAGACAAGTTCTCTACAAGATCGCCAAAGGAGTGATCGGCCACGCTCTAATGTGCTGGCCTTCATCGCGGCGGAGGAGTGGCCCTCCTCCAGCTCCGACCTCAACCCGCTGGATTATTCTTTATGGACTGAATTAGAGCTCAGGGCCTGCCGAAATTCCTATGCAAACTTGGGAGTCACTGAAGCGAACCCTTGTTCGAGAAGCTAAGCGAATTCCGCTAGAAAAGATTCGTGCTGCCAATGATGCCTGGCCAAATCGTCTAAGGGCCTGTATTAAAAACAAGGGCGGGCATTTTGAATAGTATATAAATTTTATTTTAATTATAATCTATTTAATGGTTATTAAAAATTTTAGAAATATCAGTTAATTATTAAAAAAGTTACGTAACTTTTGTTTCGTCTCAAAACTAATAAAAACACGAGATAAAATCAATCGCCCGGATTGCGAAAGGTCGTAGGTTCGATTCCCATCTCAGTGTGCCAGGGACCAAGTGGATTTTTTAAGCATTTTGTATTAAGAAAATAATATTAAAGTTTAAAAATACAAAGTATGGGTTATGATGAACTCTTACACAGATTATTAAAGAATGCTCCAAAAGTAATAAACCGCCTTTATTTCGTATAATAATAATAAATGATTCATTAGAAAGTGGTACATTTCCGGACAGACTAAAATTTTCAGTAATAAAGTCATTATACAAAAAGGGATATATGAAACTTAAGACTTACGAGGGTCAAACTGAAAGTTCTTAGAAAATCAAAAACTGATTACATTAGCCAGTTATTAGTTTTATTATATCTTTTCAAAATATTGTCCATTCACGTCAATACACCGCTGCATGCGATGGAACCACTGGGAAAAGCACTTTGCCCACTCGTCCTTAGGGGTCTCTTCAATGGCAACGCGATACGCAGCCACCGCTTCTTCAGCATTCATAAACCGCTTTCCTTTAAGTTTTTCTTTAATTTTTGGAAATAAATAAAAATCACAAGGCGCGAGGTCGGGGCTATACGGCGGGTGACCCAGTAATTCAACGTTTGATGTCGCCAAATAGTCGATCGTTCGCTTGGCGGTGTGCGACGAGGCGTTGTCGTGGTGAAGGAGGATCCTACTGCGAGGTCGTTTCTCTCGAACTTTTTCCAAGACAAGTGGCAAACAATTGGTAGTGTACCATTCTGCAGAAACTGTTTTTTGATCCTCTAACACAATTGTTGCAAAATGACCTATCCTTCCAAAGAACGAGGCCACCATTTTTTTTCCCGCACTTCGATCTCTCTTCACTTTAGTTGGCAACTCCTCGAAAGGAAACACCCACTGAGCAGATTGTCTTTTGGTTTTAGGATCATAACAGTAAATCCAGCTTTCGTCACCTGTTAGTATGTCGAACACAGCATTTGAGTCACCTCCGTTAAATCTTTCAATCATTTTACGACACCAATCCACACGATGGAGTTTTTGAGCCTCAGTCAAATTATGAGGTATCCACCGGGCGCAAAGCTTCCTGACCGCTAAATGTTCGTGGAGGATTTTGTGCACTTGACTCATACCGATGCCTAAGCTTGTCCGAATCTGTTGATAGGTCACTCTTTTGTCAGTCTCTATCATACGCCGCACAACACAGATGTTATCTTCAGTCGTCGCCGTAGAAGGCCGTCCCTCACGTAAATCATCAGTGAGATTAGTGCGACCACGTTTAAACTCATTAAACCAGTTGTAAACAGTCGCACGAGATGGGGCTTCATCGTGAAAGGCCAATCGTAGTCTATCATAACTTTCTTGTTGACTTAAATGACATCGAAAGTCATAAAAAATCATTGCACGAAAATTTTCTCGTGTTAAATTCATGATGACGTGACACAGACAATTTTCAATTTGCCGCCAAATCGTAAAACAAATGACAAATGAATGAAATATATACTCAGTAATATTGGCAAAGAGTTATATTTTCAAATTTTAGAATTATTTTTTTATTATATTGTTTATAAGTGGCCAGTTCTAAGAACTTTCAGTTTGACCCTCGTATTACACTCATACCAGTAATTTCAAAAATATTTTAAAAGGCAATTGCTGAAAGGTTTAAATTGTTGTTGCCTCGCGAATCGCAATCTTCTGTATCTATCGATCTCAATGCTGGCTGCAATGAGATAGAGAGGGACAGTGTTGTCTTTATCCCTGTTTTAAGATTTATTTTATTTTATTTTATTTTATGCAACCTCATATCAAATGATTATTACAAAACTTTTGAATTAAATAGATTTATATTGATCGAACCAGACTTGATATGAAAAAAAAAGTACTTTCAGAAGAACTGTTTTAAAAATGCATTATTTTTTAAAATGCATTTGTCTTCCATAAAATTAAAAATATTGTATTGTAAATGTGTCCAATAGTATTGTTTTGAAGGTATCTATACTCCTTATTATAAAATACAATCGACACCGTAGACTTAAGTGAAAACAAAACCTGTCAAGGGTCCCTCATAAAATATAACAAATTAGAAAGTATATTATTTTAAAAATGATTATTGATTTGCAGTTGGCGAAACGCAGCGCACTGTCGCTTATATGTGCGACAGTGACGCTTCACACGTCATCACTCAGTGGGCCATATGGATGACAGGAAACATAGGTAAAAGACAAAACCCGTAAGAGAGGCGAAGGGTCCCAGCTTTTAAGTGTGTGACACAAGTGTCGTGTGAGCGTTAATAGAAAACTACGTATTGCTATCCATAGACCTTCTATCGTTTTCCGGTACTATTGCCTATTTGGGAGTTCCGGTACTATTGTCTACTATACTATTCCGGTACTATTGTTATAACATTAACTATCCCAAATTAAAATTAGATTTTTATACGGCCAGTTGCACAAAAGTCCATTAAAATTGACATCAGTTTAAAGCGAAATTACCCATTCATTAGAGTTTAAAAATGTCATTAAACCCTAATTTATGCAACTGAGCGTTAGTTTACTACAAAATTGGCACATTATTTTCTTTGTATGAACATTCGTATATTGTCTTGAGTTCTGGGTGTTGTGATTAGGGATGAAACGATACCACCTAGGTATCGATACCGTATCGGTACCTACTCGGTATCGAATGAAAAGTATCGAGACTTACTCGTATCAAATAGCTTTTAAATGCCTTACCATAATCGTATTTTTTTATTGATTTTAGAGCAGATTTGATACTATTGATAGTTAATAGCAGTACTCTATTTACGTAAGAAAGAGAAGCTGGTCCAGGCATAAAAAGATATGCGGTGTTTTCTCCAGATAGATCTCTAACTACATACAAATAATATGTGAATTTTTCAAGAGAGATACTTTGGATACCTTACCATAAAGTAAACAGTTATAAGCACGCGAGTTTTTGACACTTCTCAGTAAGTGATTGACCAAGTACCGATACAAATACTTCACGATACTACTGGTTACTCGGTTTTAAAGTATCGATTCCAAAATACTTGGAAGGAGTACTTTTATTTATTCGTATCATGCATCCCTAGTTATGGTAACATCGTTGTCTCAAATACTCCATACGAGGGTTTTAGATCCGCATCCTGAAATCTGAGCAATGCATATAATGTTGTCTAATTTTTTTTTCAGCCGTTCCATTAACATCTCTGCATCCAGCTGAAATGCTAAAATATTTTATAACCGACAGCGATGCTAGTCTCACAGTTTGCTCAGAAAACTTTGAGAATATCATTCAACCAATCACCGAAGAGCTGTCTAAAGCAATACTGGTTATTGGAAAAAATGGGCAGGTCAAAGATCAAGTTTACAAACCTGATACGAAAGATTCCAAGCTGTCTGATGATTCTAACATATTAACGGATGTGGGTAAAACGAATATTTGGTATGGAGAAGCGGACGCCATGCTTATTTATACTAGTGGTGAATACAAATCATATATAGTAATCATTATACACTTTAGGATATGAGCAAATGTACTCAATGGGCTCCTTGCAGGATCACGTTCCTTTATTCCGTTTACAAACGACATTAACTCATGTGATACTCTCTTGGATTCGTCGTCGTTTGAGTTACCAACTTTTTTTTAATTAATAGAGTATATTTCATTTCAAAGGTGATAATATAAAGAGTACAGTCTTATAAGTATTTTTTTAAATATAATTTATTTAATATAATACAAAATGTTTTTAGTTTCTTTTTCGGTTACAATAAATAGGCAAGTGTTATAATAAAAATTATGTAAAAAGTGTAGGTATTTTAGTGTAGTGTCCTCTATTAGTGTTATAGATTATGCCTCCATGATATATTTTCGAAGACGTTTCACAACCCTAGTCTTGTATGATACATTAGATTGGCACCTACCCATATCATCATAATAATCAGTTTCGCACCGTAACGATTTTCTTTTTTTTTAAATTTTGATATTTAATATACCATCATTCTTTTAGGTACTACGAGTAAACCAAAAGGCGTAGTGTGGACACATAACATGCTTGTATCACAAATAGCGTCATTGCATACTGCCTGGCAGTACTCTGCTAATGATGTGGTATTACACGCGTTGCCACTGCATCATATACATGGACAGTTGAACTCACTCAATGCCTCTCTCGCTGCTGGTGCTAGGTAAGTGTCGATCAATAGCGATAACTATAAATAAAAGATTTAATAACTCATCTTAGTTTAAAAAAAATCTTCAAAAAAAAATCTTATTCGCACATTGTACTTTGCACAAACATCATTCTAGCCAGACGTCATGTTATTTTGTATGAGTACTTAGTATAATTGATACATATCAGGTAATTATATAGATAATTAACGATTTTTTTATTTTAATTATCGTTTTTTATGATCTTTGTTACTGATTATTAAACCCTATTTATTAATTTACCACAAATAATATAAAAAAAAAAAAAAATTGAGACTTGATGCAGTTTTGTTGCTGTGAGTTCAACTAACAATTTAGAGCAACAAAAATAACTTACCTAGTTGTGTTTGTTTTCAGTACTTTTGTCAAATGGAATATTTTATTTATATAAAACTTTCACAGTAATATTAGTGTATACCTAATGCTACTTTTAATAATTTCACATCATTAATTTTATTGATTTCCATAACTTTAAAAAACCTCTATGCTAACTTCCATTAAGTGTCAATCAATAGCGGTGGGTAGTATCAGATTTTTCACAATATCGATTGGAAACTATATATCGATATTTAATATCGGATTCTATAACTATATATTTATGAAACAATCTGTATTTGGTAAACTTCAAAAACCTTCGTGGTTTTTGATTTGTACTTATATAAATTGTAATGTTAACGGTGTTTATAATAAATAGGGAAAAAAAAGTAGCAAAACAAATCAAGCAGCATGTCACGTTCACACTTGCTAATTTAGCACGGGAAAATAAACCGGCGTGCGATTAACTAGCATGCTTATTTACAAGCATGCTCTTTTCGTATGCTTCGTATTCTTCACAAAATGGAGTCCTGAAACTTGCTCAAATATACTCAAAAGTAAAGAAACAACTTTAGCTCTAATACGCTAAGGTTTTGAATCCTAAAAGTATTTGATTATTGCTTTGGAGCCGTCCATAAATTACGTCACACAAAATTCATGATTTTAACCCCCCTCCCCCCTCCTGTCACATGTTTGTCTATACAAATTCTACTAAATATTGTTCTGTCATATGGATGGCCTAATTCGTATCCTATCGATATCGGATATTAGAATATTGATACAATATACGTTTCAATATCTATATACGATTTGTATCGTCCTCTCCTATCAATCGATGACGAATAATTATACAGTGCCATTCAACAAAATTTTAATTTAATCATGTGATGTACTGTTAACTGTACAGGCGACATCACATTTCTTTTAAAGGTTATATTTCTCCAGTCGATTTCAAACTTTATCGTGTTGATATTTAAGTTCATAGTTATTTATTCGGTCTGCTCATAATATACTTATAACATAGTATATAAAATTTTAATTTTGCTTTATTAACATCTTAGAGTCCGAATGCTGCCCAAGTTCGAATCGCACACGGTATGGGCGCGTCTGCTGGGCATGAATGGAGGGGCTAAAACTGAGATACAGGGGGAGGGGCAGAGTGTAGAAGCGAAAGTGTCAGTGTTTCACGGAGTGCCGTCAATGTACTCGCGTTTATGCGCCGATCACGCCGCCATGTTTGAAGCGCCTCGTACTGCGTCGCGAGTCCGTGATACGTTACGTACTATGAGGTTAGCATGCGCTGGGTCAGCGCCGCTGCCTGAAGCGCTGTTCCGACGGTGGGAGGAGGTAAGACTGTTATGTTGTGTCTATTTTGTTCGGGTCTACAAGTTTTTAGATAATAGAGGCGGAAACTTGGCATGCATTTAAATTGTTAAACACACACTTAAATAGGGTTATATACGTACAGGAACGGGGTCACAAGTACAAAATATTTATTCTTAAAATCCACAGTACATAATAACCAGTATAATTTCTTAAAGGGAAAAAATCCTAAGGGTTTTTTTAATCTAGTTTTCGTAAAATTAAAAATCGTCACAATGTTAGAGCAAAAGTATGCTTTCAATAATTATATGTCTATGCAGATATGGCGTTGTAAATGTCTGCATCCTATCTGCCCAAACGAAGTTTGTGCGCCATATTAGTTAGAACTTTCCGTGATAAATAATAGGTTTTCTCTTCACCAGATATCAAGTATTCCTCTGTTAGAACGTTACGGTATGTCAGAAGTGGGTATGGCATTGAGTAATCCATATCGACCAGTGGAAGAAAGGACAGTAGGGTGTGTGGGTATACCCCTACCGGGAGTGAGCGCTCGTATAGCCGTCTCTGTCGAAGGACAAGAAGATTTGGAACCATTGATCACCGTCGAATGTGAAGAACCTGATACACAGGTAATTTAAATATTATTTTATTCATCTGGTATCTGTGCAGATCTTGTTCTATATTATCATACGTCGAACGTCAAAGCTATCCAGCTGTCAAAGCTGGGGACGGGGTGGTTTGTATGGCTGTATGATTTTGGTAGTCGTGTATTTTAATATTTGTTTGTTATTAGACAATTTCATATATGTTGTTCAGATTCTAGGTTGAGTAACCAAAACCCTCGCATTACGTAGTACCTGAGACAATGAAGGTTCTACAACATTCAGACCCAAAACAATAAACAAAAAATTCCATTTATTACATTGACCCGAATGGGAATCGAAAACCGGACCTCAGGGATGGCGACGATCTTGAAACCGGCATGAAAACCGCTCGGCTACGGAGGTCGTCCTTTTATTTCAGTGGATGCTATAAGTCGGTGACCTTGTGCATCCGTAAACGGTACAGAATTCTGTGCTTTCAAGTCATTTTACGTAATGCCTTAATTGTTATTGCCTGTTGCTACTGACTATGATATAAATAAAAACCGTTTAACAGATTTCTCTGGAAAAACTGGGTCTCTTACCTAAAGATGCTTCGGGGATTGATACCGAATGGAAGCAGCCGTCTATTACCGTTCATAAAGAAAACAAAGATGGTGAATACCAGGGCGAGCTGTTACTCAAGGGACCAGGAGTTTTTTCCAGGTTAGAACATAGTTATAAGACTTGAAGTTCGTTAACAGTCCCGAATATCCGCTATTGGCTCTTGCTCATCAGTGTCTGGTCAAATTGTGTTTACGTTGCTGATTTCAATCAAAAGAAATCTGCAATAAAAATAAACTTTTAATTTTTAATGAATTTATTGAGATATGTTTGTAATCTTGATTAGATAGATAAACAGTTATGGGTGTAATTTTTACTCCTAGAAGGTAGTAGGATTGCTTATTTTTTGTAGACTATGAATTTCCACTATTACTTAAATTACAATTTCAGCGTAAATTTACTCTTACGCTAAACCTCGTTTAGTAGTACCACTGTTATAGAATTAAATTATTTTGCACTACACCATTTCAATAAGCATATGCGTTGCGTTCAATAAGTGTATTATAACCACGTTGCTTGATAAATATCATAATTTTCATTATTCAAAATATAAATATTTCCTATCTAGATATACTTTCCTTTATACTCTACTAAAAATAAAATAGTTTATGTTTAATAACCCTTTATAGCCATTTATATTTAAACGGTGATTTCAGATATTGGAATCGCGCGCCGAAACTAGATCAAACCGATTTCACATATGACGACTGGTTTCGTACTGGCGACACGGCGTTATTCGCAAACGGTCGCTTCAAAATATTAGGACGGACATCAGTAGATATTATAAAGACGTCCGGTTACAAAGTGAGCGCCTTACAAGTAGAATCGGCATTACTAGACCACCCTTCAGTTACAGACGTAGCAGTATTAGGTGTACCAAACGAAAATTTCGGTGAAATAGTTGTCGCTGTTGTTGTATTGAAAATTGGAAGTAAGTTGACGCTCAGGGATTTGAAAGAAAGCGCGGCGAAGAAATTGGCGTCTTATCAGATGCCTAGGAGACTTATAGTGATAGAGAAAATGCCTAGGAATGCAATGGGAAAGTTAGATAAGAAAGAGATAAAAAAATTGTATGGTGATAAATTGAAATCGAAGAAGTGATTCGAAGATTGTGATATTTAATGATTTACAAATTATGCTGTTATTGGAATTATAAAATATTTTATCTCTGTTTAGTATGCAGTCAACCGCACATCAGGTTATTACGAAATTTACTACACTGTTTGTGTTGTATTTAATTAGATTGTTACCAAAAATATTTTTTAAGAAAGTTATTTATAAAACAAGCAAACTTGCAGCAATAGATAATTTGTTACTAGTATCTATCTATTTTAGTATTTTGCACAGAAAAAACAAAGACCTGTAAATGACAAGACATGACAATAAAACTGATTTCCTTAAGAGTATTCTGAACATTAACACTGCAAGACATCACAAAGTTAGCTGCTGACTGACTCTGCAATAGTAATGATCCACATCGATAATGCTAATGGTGAAAGAAAACAGATACGGATTATAGGACAAACTTGATACCATTTCATTCATTCAATAATCACTCATTAACGCAATTCTCGCTAGTATCCCACATCAAGAGTATCGGACACTACGATTCCAATGTCGATCTATCGCGATTAATTTCACGAGTAAGCCTGCACTTTTGTTCAAAGCATTGAATTATGATTGTACTCTTAATCAAACATGGTTAACACCATTTAATCTATTCCTGTAAGTTTGCTGGTGTAGCAAATAACCCTGTATATTGAGTACATATCTCTTTTTGCTCTAACAACGTAGACAAGGACAAAACATAACCTCCTATCTAGTAAAAAACGAGACAAATATAAATTTGGCTGACGAAGTATTAGATTTTTTAAGTTGTTAAGTACAAAACCATAGGTTGTAACAAGACGCCCGAAACGAGTAAATCTTTGCCTCATAAAAAAATCACTTTTAATATTTTGTGATAAGGTCGAAAATTTAATGATGAATTGTTTAAATAATGACCTATTTATGCCAAGAAACAGATGTATTTTATTAATAAGAAATTTCAGACACTGCATAAAAAGATTGTTTGGGTCATTCTGTTTTTCTTTCTATTTATTCTGGTTGTGATATTTGTTTATTTACTTGGAATAAAATGTAAATTAAAATAATAAAAATGTTCTATTTCAAATTAATATGGAATAAATAAATAATATTATAAATAAATGACGTAAAATATTTGTGCATAATATATTTTTATCGTGATATTTGATATAAAATTTCAAGTTTGTTAAAATAGTATTTTATGGTTAGTGTTGATTTTAACAAAGAAGAATTGTAACGAGGGACAATTTGAAAAGGAAACGAATTCATTAAATCGGAACATGACGTGTATTTACGCTACACGTTGTATTTAAAATACAGTGTTCAATTGCAATATCTGTTTATTACTATGTCTAGTGCTGCAATTTTGCGTCAGAAAGTGACAGCTTCTGTTAGGTCTAAGCAATTGGACCAAAACGTATATTTTGATGATTTACAAAAAATATTAAATGCCTATTTATTTTATAGGTAATGATATTCAATTTCTTTTAGTAATTATATTTTTTATAGTGAAATTTGATAAATTCGTGAGTCACTTTGCAACGAAGCCTTTTATTTAATGATTTTATACGTATATAAATAATGGTTTTCGATTATCAGCAGACAATTTACGTCCCCACTGCTGGGACATAGGCCTTCCCTATGGAATCAAATAGAGAGAATGGTCCATAACCCACCACGAGGCCTTACTTTTGGTGGGTGTTAATAACTTTAGATACAGCCGGCTTATCAGGAGGAGCCGGCTTATAAGTTTTGGTCACCCATCCTATTACAGACCTTTGCAAAAATCGCTAATTTGACCTCATGTTTTTATGCCCAATGTTGTTTATTTGAATGAATAAATATTATGTTAGACTGCAATAAAAAGCATTTGTTTTATATAAAATCTATTTTATTTTTTATTTAACAAATAATATATAATTAAATTGCTATTTCTTAGGGCATCAAGTAGTTTTAATCATGCTCTGCTTAGAACCTGGGTTCACCTAATAATATATTAATAAATTGAATAACTTTAACACTAATATTAATATCACGATGTTTGAGCCTGTAGAAAGCTTCGTGCTGCTATAGTGGCATTTACTAAACATGGAGGCGAATAAGTGGCGAAAGATATTGTATCAGACCAACTAGAATATGTAGCGACCAAAGTAGCTGTTACACCCATTGTCATAACTAACACAGCCAATACAAGATCATACCATTTTATGTTATACGCATCCAAATCACCACCTATTCTACTATAGCTGAACGTCTTGTATTTAGTTTCTAGAGCGTCTTCGAAAATGAGCGGGTAATTAGCGCCATTTTGGTTATTGTTAGATCCGTTTTTGATTTGAGACTTCATGTAGCATAGTTTTAGGAAGAACAGCGGTGGGAATATGAACATTAAAGGCCCTGTCAACGTGGACCCCACTAGACCCATGACTAAGTCGAAACGTGGGACGGACTCCGCGAGGAATACCGCTAGTGCGACGATTCCTGAACGGACGAGGCAGCGGCGCATGCAAAATTCTGTGAAACAAAATTATATTTATTACTTTTGCATTCGCGATTTAAATACAAATTTTTAGAGGGTTAAGGGTCTATTACTATGGGCATGGACGAATAAGTTTATTGATTATGGACGAATGATATTATTATTGGTCGACCATTAAGTCGATAACTCTTTATGATAACACCCCGGGCATCCCTATCTGTCAGTTAGCTGTCACCGTCACTTTGACGTTTGAACAAATTCTAGCCAAAACGTGACATTGGCGGAATTGTGTAAATGCAAATAGGCCATGAATTAAAAAAGAAGAATAAAAAGAAGACAATTACCTCTGGGTTGTCACTGTAATAAAACTTGGAATCGACATTTATAATCTTTGGAGAGAAAAGTATTTTGTGAAAATCTTTCATTCGAAGGTCAAAAATTACCTCTAGGTATGTTCAGTAAATCTTCTATATGCTGGAATAGTGCGTTGTTCCCAACAGCGCTGGATAAACACAGCTGTAGTGTGACCAGTAAGGCGACCACGAACAAAGTCACAGATGGTGGTATACCTGGATGAAAAATGAGGTAGATAATATTAAAGTAACCATAAACTTTTTTTTTATGGGATATGGGGCAGACAAACAGACGGATCACCTGATGGTAAGTGATTACCGTCGCCCATGGACACTTGCAACAACACCCTGCGGACGAATATGTTCTACGCTTGAAAGTTTGAAATTTGAAACTAAGAATTCAATTTATTCATTGATAAAGCGCTATAAAGACGAATTTACATTACCAAAGTAGTACCATAAAACTAAAAACAAGTTTCACTTGACTAATTCCGGAATGTGAAACTACTTTCGTAATGGCGTGCAATCAACTGTATCTCTGAGACACTGCCTCTGTCACCATCGAAACTTTACTGTGCGCACTGTATAGGAATTTCGTCAATCGAGGTAAAAGTAGTTTCATCATAGATATACGCATCGCTCAAAACTACTGGTGTCGTGAAACTAACGCATTATATTAAACGTGCAATTTCTAACGAAATTAATGCAATGAAAGTTGTTTTATGTAACTACATATTGTCATAATGTATATATAATCAGCATCAAGGCACGTCGCTTGTATACAATAAGTTGTCACTAATATGGCCGCATTTTGTATTTCCGTTTTCGGAGAACAGACCTACCAATTCTGACGTTTAACGAACTTACGATAAAAATTTATACTCAGGTTTGTCTCAATAACCATAAGATATAAAATACAACGCATTAGATATACATCTTACTCACGTCAGGCGCATGGGTATTGGTGGATCGCCCGATGACGTTATACCTAAATCATTTTGATTGGTCGAGATTTGCCTCGCTTCGAAACTTAGTTTTCTATTCAGATACATCCATGAACTACTTTAGGTGTATCTTACTGAATGTCTTTCACGTCCTTGTCAATCATATTCTTTAAAAACATTCGCCAGTTTTTACGACTTTTAAAATCTACGTCGAAAGGTGTTCTGACCTTCCTCAGATGCTACAATCTTCCACTTATTATCAAGTTTTCTGCCATTCAGTCTATATGTCTGAACCTATTTTTCTTACATCTTCATGTTAGATGCAAATACTTTGTTCTGTGCTTTACTGATATTAATATTCATACCTTGCAGTATATTATTGTCGACGTCTTCACCATATCTGTTCGCTGCTAGTATAGTTGTGACGGCGAACATGAAGCTTGTAACGAGGAACCCACCAACGACCGCAGTGTTTATCTTCCTGCTGTCCTTCATGTCTACTTGAATAGTCAGCAGTAAAGGATGTATGTCGAACTATAAATAAATTTATAACATTTGATCAATTTAGCATTCGCAATATTGTACAGAAAAATAATATTAATGCAAAATGCTTAAAAAAACACTATGTCCCCGACACTCTGAGATGGGACTCGAACCCACGACCTTTCGCAATTCGGGCGACTGCTCTGTTTGTCTGTCTGTCGAATTTTTTAAGCACTTGTTACTTTTTCGCTACTGCAGAGCGTATTTTTATCAATGTTCAGGCAGTCCACCCTGTCCTGCGTACCCTGTTCGAGTACCATCTCAGAATTCTAGGAACAATATGTTTTTTTAAACATTTTTCATCAAGAATGTAGATAAATTGTTTCGCCTGCCTTAGAAATATACTCTATAATTTAAACGGAGTAGGAAGAAAATGGGGCCGAGGATACTTCCCTGCTGAACAAAATGTGTAGGAAAAGAATAAAACCAAGAACACTTCCATGTGAAACATTAAATAAAACGTCCACAGTATCACTGATAGGTAATCTAATCAGCATAGAAAAAGTTGCAATTTTCAAATGTTATTCCATGTTAATGATTGATGTATCTCTTTATTAAGGATGTAGCAACCGCTGTATCAGCCGTATCAATGATCCAGGGCCCCCGGGTTATAGGTGCCCCTAACGTGTGTAAGCAAACACTAATTTTGATACAGGGCCCCTCCAAGGCACCCTTTATTACGTTAACATAAACACTATACATATTTAATGGCATATTTACTTGGAATGCGATGATCCCGTAGGCTATAAGAAAATCTTGCATCGACGGCTGTATGGCGAAGACGCTGCTCGTACTAGGTGGTGACGTATCATCAGTTAGTATACAACTCCACGTGGATACAGCTACCGTAGTCACTATCAACACTGACATAACAGCTAAGGGTCTGTGAAATACCATAACATATCCATCATTCTCCATACTTATTCAAGAATAACAAACAAGAATTTAATCGGATCAGGCGTTATCTTGCGTGATATTTTAGCTGCTTCGCCGGTACACAAATTCACTTGTAACAAATCTCGCAAATTTATCACTCTATACGTGTTTTAGCTATCCTTTGGAGCTGTTAGACTTTTAAGTGGTTTTGCGAGAGTTGCTTTCATTCGTATATGTGTATTTATACGGGTGCTGCTCGATAGGTCTTGCAGATAGTGATTGGGTGTGGAAGTTGCTAAATATTATAGCGTCACAATTATAAAAATCAAAAAAGGTGAGGATGGGTTTAAAATATCAAGTAACTGGAATCCAATGGTTTATCAATATGTCTGCCAATAAAATCCACAAGAATTTAGTTTCTTAGTGGAGAACCTTTGTAGGGAGTAATACTGCGTGAGTGAAATTAGATAATATTTATATATTTACTTAACAATTCTGAATTTCGAAATTTTAATAATAAAGAGATCCAAGACAGCCCTTTATATAAGAAAGCTATGCAACTGCCTTTTTTAATGAAATATTTAGATCTGGCTCCAGATTCCAGCATCATGTATCAAGTAGGATCGATGATTATGGATTTTTTAAAACTCTTACCAGTATGACGCATTTCAACTCACTTCATATCCTTCGGTGAACCCAGCCAGAGCACGGGGCACAGCAGAAGAGCTATCACCAGCATCCACACGCAGTAGGTCACACCTATTTCACCATCTGATATTTTCCACCAGAACAACTGTAGACTCTGGGAAGCTGATGGAACCAAAATTAATACATATATATTATACTATTTATTTAAATCTTTACACAAGATCCTGGCTCATTAAGATTGGTCTGTAGGAACCGTATGCAGAGTGCGTGGGACTCAGGGCTGGATTTAGGGGACGGGAAGTGGGAGCACTTGCCCTGGCACCATAATAACTTGTAATTGAATAAATTAATTTGTTTTTATTAAAATGAACACGTTCAAATTCAAACGACGATCCATGACCCAATTTATTTATTTGAATAGGACTATGACAGATTGATGGTTATGAGGGTGATGCTTAGGCGAATGAATAAAAAGCAGACTTTTTGCAAAAGACTTTGGACAAAAAAGGAATATAAAAACTGTTCGTATGCTTACCTAAATAATAATATTAAAATAGTTAAATAGAACAGTTACATAGCCCTTTTAAATAATTTTATGGCTCAGATGCTAAAGTGATTTAATTTTTGGTGCAGAGTTCGTTAGTTTTTGAGATTAATTTTTTGAAAAATACATTTAATTGATCTTTTGTCTTAAACACCGACCAAAGAAAACAAATACTGCGGAAATAAGTAGAATAAATATTCTTAATGAAAAATGCTTAAAAAATCCACTTTATTCCTGGCTTCGAACCTACGACCTTTCGCAATCGGGGCGCCTGCTCTAACCACTGAGCTACCCAGGACCTAACAGAACTGACGAATCATTCAAGCGCTCGTTACTTTTTTACTACTGCAGAGTGTATTTTCATCAGGCAATCCACCCAAACAACCAAAAGATATATTTTTCCAAATGTTTAAAACTTCGATTAAATAAAATTTGTTCTAATTATTATATATGATTAATGTTGCATTCACAATGCTAAACTAAAAATATTCTTAATCAAAGTGCTTTAAATACTTAAAAACCCTTAAATACCTGCCTAAGTAATATAATATATAGTACTATGCATTCAATATGCTAATGCAACGCTTATTTACGGTGGAGCTTACTTAAGTCTATCGCTTTAAAAGAGATTTGTAATACTAAACAGTTAATGCGCTTAGTAAAATTAGGAACGTAGCTCGAATGGCATGTGTTACGCGTTTCGCGTTGTCTGACCGCTGTTTATAAAACTAAATAAAAAAAAGTAAACAGCCCATTTTCATTTTTTTTTATTTACTCCAATATGGCGGTTTTTATAATATCATATAAGTTGATAGTAGTTAGTGGTTATGAATTAATGCCGAATTTTTAGGTCGGTGTTGATTTATTGAAAAAATGTATTTTAGAACTTATTTTTAGTGATGCCTTTTTTGTTTACTTTGATGACTAGGTACTTTATTATTCGGACGACTCTTTATTAATACCTAACTATTTCGATATCAAAACATAATTACTTGACAAATTTTATTCAAAAAGTATCATATAAATCTGTACATGCAAAAAAAATTCATGATGCAACTGCTTGTCACTAACACTATTAAAAAAAGAAGTTGAATTGGAAACTTTCGCCTATTTAAATTAAATTCATTTAAAATGGTTTTGGTTTTGCTTTATGAACAGTATCTAGTTTCTGTAAAATCTACGAAATTATAATAATCTATACGTCCACAACATAAAACAAAATCGCTGCCCGCTGTCTTCTTTCAAACTACACATTGGATTATAATGACATTTTCATAAATTTACAGTGATTTTAATAGGAAGATTTATATGTATAATACAAAACGCGGGTGAAGTCGCTGGCGGAGAGCTAGTATACAATAGTCTTGTATTAAATATTGTTACAGCGAAAATTATCTTTTTTTTTATATTGACCACTACATTTATTATACTGTTATAAATGTGTTAGTTTAATACATTAATATAAAGCCAATAAATATTGTAATACCTACAATCTCCAACTATGTTGCTCATTGTTGAAGTTATTCAGTAATATGGAACTCATCCATCCCACATACTCTGGCACATAATATTATTACACCTCATAAAGTCTTTAAACATTGAGGTCAGAATTATCGATAGACGCAAGCACTATTTCCATGGGAAAATGCTTAACTGCCAATCGTATGGATTGTTTTAGGAACTCCAAATTATCATGGCGTTTAGAGCAAGCCTTACTCTCTAAAACTGACTATAAATCATAATCCAGCGTATTAAGATCAGCACCAAATGACGGCCAGTCTTGAGCTCTAATTAAGCCCGGTAAATTCGTTTCCAACCTAGATTGAATAAATTGAGCTTTATGAAGCGTCAAGTCTTGCGGACCATTGTTTATTGAACATGGTGTTGTTAAGGGGCTTAACTACCTCATCGAGAATAGTTGATTTGTGCCAATGCTATGATGCCTTTTTTACAAAAATATGTCTCGGTCACTCCTTTATAACTAACATCTCACCAGACCTTCACTAAAGTTGGATAATGCCAACGTTGTACTTTTTTGACTAATCCTGAAGCTTCTTTAAAGCTTTGAGCATAAATATGTTCATATTGTTTGTTAAAATATTGCTCAAATGTGAAAATTTCTTTATCCGTAAACAATATTTTGATTTTACTACCCAATTATTATTATTTAAATTATCCGTTAATTTAAACCACCAGTGACCAGTGCATCTCTTATATGGTGCCAGTACTAGGTGGTTCAAGCTATATCCATCTTCTGAGATAAAATCTTTTGCTTTCAGACAGGATTTCTTCGAATTTATTCCTTTACTGCTTTGATTGCCTTTTTCGTACGAACATCACTTGGACGGCCAAATTCTTTTTGTCACAAACAGAGGTTTTATTGTACCAATCAAAAGCACGATACACAAACCAAGCATATGGATAGTTTTGAAAATTGTGTATGACGGTTCTCTTTATCACCCCACTCCCATTTTAATATCGCAAAATATATATTGGCGCGATAATAAGAAAAAACAATAAAAAATCATAAAAATGATAAACAATCATAAAAAAAATCATTTATCTCAAGAAATTCCAATACTGAATATTGTTTGTTTTATTTATTTTTGTGCACAAACGACAATTTTATATTCATATATACAATGGGATTTGTATTTATATCCAAAATAAATTATTCTGTAATCATCATATCAAATTTACAATGCTTACCGAGAATAAAATTGGGTATGCCTGCTCCGAAGACGGTAGCATCGATAAGGAAGGTGACCATTCTTCTAGACGGCTGCCCAAATGCCAGCTCAGCAACTGCTGCATACGGGTATCTGTGGATAACAACAACTATGCTATGGAATTCTTCGGCAAGCGCAGCGCTGATACAGTATAGAGAAATTCAATGAAATAGAACCTTTATTTACTTTTTAAAATAGATTGTGAATCAGACACAGCGCAATCCCTCCACACAGCGCATAAAAAAAGAAAAGCGTTTCTTGGAGACTTTTCAAAATTAAGGGTCTTAACAGACAGACAGACGGACAGCAAAATTATACCTATTAGCGTTGCGCTCTCTTCATTTGAAGTACGAAACCCTAATAAGGGCCTTTGAATTTGCAAATTAACTTGTATTTTATATTAAGGAATGATGAATGATTTTTTTTAGCATCAACACATGGAAAGTTTAAATCTGACCTGATCTTCTCCCTGATGCGTGGTGTCAACTCCTGCGCAAGCAGCCAACTCCTGCCGAGCAGTACCGCTGTGTACAACTGCAGCCCAAACACAAATATCACCAGGGGTACACCATAAATCCCTGAAAAGAGAATTATAGTTTTCAAAACTGCATTTTAGTATCGTACCTTCCCCATTTTGTATAATCTTAACTACGAGATATTGTAATTGTAGTAATGGAACTCCCTTTTTTTAATATAATCTTCACTGCGATTAATTGATATTGAATTATTAAGACTCTCCCTCATCGCCGTGTAGGAAAAACAAGAAAATTTCTATGGGATCATTCAGTATATCTAACAAATATATATACAATCTTAAGAAGTAGTAAGTATTCTAGAGCTATAAAGTCAGCATTTTGACGATCTGAGACGTGCTATCTTAGGTACACCCGCTGTAGAAAAGGATGGGGCGACAGTCAGGGCCAGATCTAGACCATGAAACATCAAAATGATCCTAATATAATACGTTTAAAAAGAAAGAGCGTTCCAAAAAATTTTACATTTTAGACTACGATGGAAAGGAGATCATTAAAAAAAAGAAAAAAAACTGCAAAAATAAGTAGAATAAATATTTTTAATGAAAAATGCTTTCATTTCCGTCTCAAAGGCTTTTTATTTACCAGAATATGATTCTCAAAAATGTTCTAGTGAAAATATCAATGTTCGAGTTGCTACATCTCAGAATAATAATAATAATAATAATATTCTTTATTGCACAAAACCTAGATACATTAAAACATTTATTAGAACCTTAATGGCGGCCTTATTGCTTTGCAGCAATCACTTAACAATCAAAAAGAATAACTACATTATCATTATTTTGGAGAAACCCAAAAGTGTTTTCTTTAAATAATTAAAATACACTTCAAATAGAACCAGAATCTCTAGAAACTCAATGTTAATGTCTTAACAAGCGAGGCTAATTAAAATTATAAACTACTTCATTATGTACGTTAACGGACTCAAGAACTATTAGAAAACCCTTTCAGTTTCGTCACATGTATGAGTATTCAAATCAAATAATTAAGTTTTACGATTATGATCTTAGATGTCGGTAGAGTGTGGTCGTATCATTAGAAGTAATCTTGAAATTAAGTAAAACGTTTGGTGGGAATATTCATTATTTTTTATTATCAGTAGATGGCTTTGAGTTCTACTTTGATTTTTATCAATGAATTGAGTTGTTTGCTCACTACATACTCGTAGTATCATACCAAAACTGGAATAGGCACGGGATAAGGAAGAATATATTCTTTGGAATGATAGTTTCTCGCGAGATTACTACCATGTAGTTTGTTTTTGTTGAGTTCCTGACATTTCGCGGAACATTAGATAGGTTCGGGACCAAGTTGTTAGTTCCCGAATTAATCAAATGTTTTGCGAAATGTCGGGCTGCATAAGCCACAGATTATCTAGACTGAACGCCACTACATACCAAGAATGATTGTTTTTGTTGAGTATCTGATATTTCGCGGAACATTTGATTGGTTCGGGACCCACTACTTAGGTCTTGAATCAATCAAATGTTTTGCGAAATATGAGGTTACATAAGCCACAGATTATATTGACTGAACGGCAATACATACCAAGAATGGCCAGGAAAGCGATTGAAATAACAAAGCACAAGAATTTGATTGGTGAGGACGGGTTTAAATTGTTGTGCTTAAAATCCAGTGGTTCGTATATGACAAAACCAGAAGATAAATCCAAAAATTGTCGTTTCGCGACCCGATGAGCAGTTGCGAGTTAGTTGTGATATAGTGGAACGGGTATCAAACAAAAAAGGACTATTTATCTATATCTGCTTATGATACCACCCCGCAAAAATTTCAGTTACAGTTTGTGCCCGCGATCATGGCGCTTGCAATAGCTCCGAAATATCGGAAATTCAACAAAAATAAGGTACATAGTAACCCCGTGAAAAACTATCATTCTGATGTAAATTACTATGAACGCTTAAAACAATATAATTATTCTTTGTATATTTAATACAAAACGACATTCGCTAGAGCGTTCCATTAAGACTTGTAATTCAAGTGGTCCGACTTTGTCCCGTATATCTAATCGATTTCACGAATGGTGTTAAACTGGGATAATGAATGAAATAAATGTACCTCTAACTTAATAAAAACCAAATTAATTACTATATTTAACTAAGTCATGATTTTAATTCATTTTTTATTATGTCAAATCCAACAAAAATATGTCAAACCTGGCAAATCAGCCATAACTACCTAGTAGTTATAAATAACATTGGAATCGGAACGTGCCACGCATTCATTTTGTTTCGTGGGTGTTTTCTTTTACTTTTTAATAATAAAACCGGTACCGTAGTCCCAACATGACAGAGACAGCCGAAAGTTTCAAGTTCGGTATTTCAAACTCAAACAAATATTTCAAAATAAAGAAGGTGTAAAAATTCTTCTACGGCTTCGCTCGCGTGGCAGTCGGTTATTGTCGATCCTTTAAACCTATTTAAATCCTATGTTCTTTCCCAATCATTAAATATCATTAAATTTGTTCAGTAATTTCGACGTGAAAACGCAACTGACACACAGAAAGAGTTACTTTCGCATTTAAAATATTAGAATAGTTAATGTAATAGGTATTATTATCATCATCACCAGCCATTAAGGCCCCCCACTTCTGGGACTCAGGCCTTCCCTATGTATGAAATGGAATCGAATCGAATATAGAATAGGCCATGACATGACGCGATCAACAGCTTGACGTGCCATCCGAAGGAGTTCGAGATAATAAATTTTTGGTCATCCATCCTAAGATCGGCCATTGCGAACGTTGCTTATTAACTGTATCGCAGATCGAGCACGCTTAGCACTGCGTTACCAACTCGTATATTCTTACCGCAGGATATTATGCTCTTGGGTAGCGTAACCACCGGGAAGACACCGAACAGATCTACAATGCACAGCACCGTGAAGAGGACGCTCAGACCGCCGGTGGTCTCACCGATGCTGTATTCATCGTGGCGTGAGACCACAGTCGTCTGCTTGAGAGGTATCGAGCCAGCGTCTGAAGCTCGTGGCAACTTCATCTTGATATACCTGGAAAACACAAAGATCAGCAGTGCTCTTCTGCTATAAAAACTGACTGGAACAGAACGTCGAGCTCACCGCTGTCCACAGCATATAGATTCAATAGAATAAAACGCACTTCAAAAGGTAAAGAGGATTTATTTGATTTTCTAATGATTTTTTCACAATTGAAAACGTAAATTTATAAAACTTTATCTATTAATAAAAATCTAAAACCCGAGTAAATTACGCTCAAAAAGTTTAAAACCAGAAATTTATTTTATAGCGATAGCTGCATTATAATAGCATTCCGATAACGAAAGGACAGCCTTGTCGTATGCCACTGTTCATAACAAAACAAACCGTTGTGCCTTGGTCGTAGCGCTGTTGACGCGAACAACTTAGACGCTTCTAACTAATAATACCTCATTTGTCCAGTTACGATGAGTAGTTACGAAAATAAAGGAACAGATTAACATTCTTACATACATACATACCGGCCAAAATCAAAACCTTCCTTTACGCTTCCCCGTAGTCGGGTAAAAAATTTGTAGGTTGCACCCCTATTTCTAGAAGTCTATAATGCGTAAATGTAGTCTGGTGGAGCAATATATGCCACAACAAATCTACAGCGGATAGAATAAGAATACTAAATAGTGTCTATGTAAATAATATTTTTTGTATCGATGGGACTGTCGTGTTTTAAAAATAAAAATCTCAAAATAAAAATATTAATAGAAACTACATAGTGAATATAGTTATGTATAAGTTTTCTTTCAAAATTTCTTTTTTCATAAGACAGCTTATGAGGCCAAGACTTTATCGTAATCGAATCAGTAGTTTGCTTTTATAATAAAAAAATTGAACGACATCATACTTTAAAAATATGATAAATAATTATTATCTCAAAAGCTATTTAATCAAGAAAATGCTGTTGAAGTTGGTCGGGCGGAGGTCGAGGCTTCTGTAAGTTATTAATTAAATGATAGACATGACTTCAATAGCATTTTCTTGACTTAGCTCTTAAAATGACTACGTGTATTATTTATTATATTTTTAAAGTATGAAGTTCTTCAATTTTTTAAAGTTTTAAGTTCATGCTTTTTAGTTATATAGATATTTTTACATGAAAGGTAATAAAAAAAATTAAATATCTATATAAATGATATATTATACAGGGTGAAAGTCTTAGAAAAGAAGATTTTATACACAATTTATTCCAATAATTCTATACTCATATTTTAAAAAGAAGAGAGATTAGATTGCTTGTTTCCTTCATCTTTGGGAATACGCGTTGGACATATAATTTATGCAGGCGAAGTCGCTAATTCTTAATAGAAATTGGTTCACGATTCAAGAAGAGATCGATTATATAACAAACCAACATTCATAAAAAAATATGCATACTCCATGAACATATAAAATTCACCTTTCGGATTTTGAATAAATTCCAAATACGCAATATTTGTTTTCTTTTATTAAACTGTCGAATAAAAAAAAATAATTTTGAAATTCCATAATTGGCGGAAATAACGGTGAATATACATAAAAAAATACATCGCGTCGAACATATACCTTTTCGACTCGGTTAAGTCGGTTAAAAAAAGCGTTATATCATTTATGCATATCAGCGGAAAGACAAAATATTTTGCATTACTATAATTTTATGCGACTTCAAGATCAGAAACGAGGAATCTATATTCGACGAACAGGCATTATATTTATAAATGATTTGCTTTGATTTCTTCGCGAATTGTGATTTTATATGAAACTAGCTTTTCCCGCAACTTCGTCCGCGTGGTAAAGTTACTTTGAGCAGCATTTCTAACGAATATTTATTCATTATATCGTGTAAAATACCTGAAATAAAGTTAAATCCCCTATTTTATCACCTTAGGGGTGGAATTTATTAATTTCCTTTCTTAGTGGATGCCTACGTCATAGTAGCTTTAAGCATGAAAAGTCTCAGCTCGATCTGTTTAAAATTGACAAAGTTTCATACAAACATTCTTCACCTATATTATCCTCTTGGAGGTAGAATTGATTAAATTTGAAATATGTATTGAAAAAATTTATTATGTCGATTCAAAAATAAAAAAAATCTCCCAGGCTTTTGTTATGTTAATATCATTTTATTATATAGATATTTAATATTTTTAATGATACCTATACAAATAAATATCGATATTTAAAAGAATTAAGAACCAACTTCTATCCTTCAAAAGCGAGAAATAATAGTTAAAAGCGGTTTCATTTATTCAAGAAACTGCTATTCGGGCGATTATTTAATAACGGTATCATATAATAACCTACAGATTTTACTTGAGGTTTGGAGTCGGTTCTATTTTTTAAAAAGAAATTCATTTCCTTCCGCCAGCGGCTTCGCTCTATATATGAAAAAAAAATCCTTATCAAAATCCGATGCATAGCTTTAAATATTTAAGATCCGATGCATAGCTTTAAGCTTTAAATCTTTAAATATTTAAGTACACTTGTTATATATGGACAGAGAAAGCGACTTTATTTTATAGTATGTAGTGATGTTTTTCGATATCTCCCTATTTTAATGACCTTGAACGTGTTCTTTCGATTAATGCTAGATTTTCTCAAATAACAGGTTTAGGTAGTTGATAAAAAATATAATTAAAATTATTTTGTTGTAATTTATTTGTCAAATTCGCAATGTATTAAAACTCTACTTACAACGCAATAAGGTTTAACTACAAGTGAAGAAATACAGATTTGTATAACGTACGTGTACGTGCTGTTGCATGTACACCTACATTCCAAACTCTGTCATAATCAAATAACAGATGAGAGTATATTTTTCTTAATCGCATCTAAGATCGTGTGTTACAAGGCGGCCCAGTGTATGTTTCGTAGTAAATGCTACGATCGGTACAATTAATCAACGAATATCATTAACATATCCAGTTGTTAAGAGGTCGCCTAAAACAGATCAGTATAAAAAAAATGTGAAAGAATAATGTTCAAAATATAATTTTAAAAGAGTTGTCACCACTGCTGGGCACGGGTACAGTAAGCCAATAACCTTATATCCTACAAGTGAAAATTACCGATTTTTGTTTTGTCTTCAGAAAATATGAACCGTTTTAACTTATAAATATTTAACAAAACCAATTTTAAGTCACATATTTAGAAATTATTTTCGCTTTAAAGACTTGAAAGAATAGGGAAAATCCTACAAAAATTTGCTAAAATACACAAGGCATTTTAGAAACATAAAATGTTATAAATTTAATTATAATAGCTATAAATATAAAAGCACAAATAACAAAGGTATTACAAAGATTGCCCAGACGCCCATACGTTTTTCGCTACCGTAGCACTGTGTGACGTTACTTGGTGCCTTGAAAATTCAATTCGGCCGACTGGCAGCAGTTCCACAAAAATAGCACCGTATCTCCGAAACTATTAATCGCAGATATGCTGTTACTTCTACATTATTTCTCAGACATTAATGGACTTTATACTTATCAAATAAAAAAAAAGTTTTCAACCAGCGCATTCTGATAATTTTTACGTAATAATCGCATCTTGGCCTGGCCTTGACTTGGCCAGCAGGTCGTGATGAATGGAATTGAACAAAATTGAATTCGGAGAATGGGCCATGCATAAAAAAACCTCGCGGGCCAACGGGCCAATTGCAGGTTGGTGGGTATTAACGACTGTAGATGCTGAAGGGACTAACGGCTTAATTAAACTATAGCGTGTCAATTTGTGGCGGAAGCGCGATATTATACTTTACTTGTCGTCTCTATATGTTGCAATATAGATTGGATGTACATATATATTGTATGTTTGTTACTTTTTCACAAAATTTACTCAAAATGCTGTTTTTTGAGATGCGGGAGATGTGCTTAATACGGTAGCTATAATAGATGTACTGCAAAATTGTCGTGTAATGTGTTTGCGAATAGGTTTAATAAACATAATTTGTCAAAGGTATTTAACATATTTAATAAACATAATTTATAAAGGTTCAATGAAATAAAATCTGTTGTCTTTTGAAGTAGGTTTTATTTGATTCAACCTCTATGCTGAATATTGCATAGAGGTTGAAATAAATAAAACCTATCTTTCGTCAACACGTCGCTGATTTTTTACAGGAAAGCATTTCAAGGCAATTTTGTTTGACTGTCCGTTGGATGGATTATTAAAAACTATTAAACACGTATACCTATATTTATTTTTGTGTAATTAACAAGTTACGTATCGAATATTTTTCTATTATTTATTTATTTTATTTCTTAACAATAAACTTCTTACACAAATGTGCAGTGGTGGACATAAAGCCATATGCATTTTCTACCAGTCAACCTTAGGGTGATGTGAAGATAATAGACGGCGGGGTGCACAATAGAAGTGGAAATTTTGTAGGAAGAGACTGATTGACGGATAATTTTTTTTTTTATCGGTCACATCCTATTGTAAGTGAGATTAACTGAATTATCAATAATGCGTTAAATAAAGATATCAAAATTATGTATTATACAGGGCTTCTTATTATACTGCTCCACCAAAACTTTTTTGTAAGAAACTTTCGTTTTATATTTTTCATTTTTTTTTAATAACGGATCATTCACCTTATTAAGCCACCAGAGCGATGATAATTATGTGTCACTGAAATAATTCACTATTTTTCATTTTTAAACAAGGAACATCACTTCTTTCACTATTGCATTATTTTTTTTTATGATGGTACTATGTTAATAAAACGACAAGCAGCTTTTTGAAGCACTTAAAAATAGAACAACATTCTGCATAATTATTGCCATTGGAAAATAATGTATTTAAATATTTATATTTGGCGTTTCGTAACCGGTTCGTCCTGATTACGAAATTTGAACACCGTATAGGCGCTCGATTTTTTTCGATTCTGGCGACACGTCCGCGCGGAGGTCGTCAATCTACTGGTCAAGTCGAGTATGAAGTATTCACTCTAGTCGTTTTGGATTAGAAAATAATAGGACACCCTAATGAAACCAATATACTGCAA